ACAACGCCTCGGCTAAAGATGCCACCATCCTGCCGGCCTCACGTCCACCGTGGACCTGGTGAACAGGGAGCCGGACGGGGACGACCCCTGGGACCTGCCCGAGCTCAAAGACGCCGGGGTCAAGTGGTCGGGTGAGGCAGCTCGCTGTCCCGTCCCGCACAGCCGGCGGAGGCCTTTACCGAAGCCTCCCCCCCGTCCCGCTGAGTCACCCTGAGTCACAACGCATTGTGTGGTTTCTCTTTACAGACCTGGACACTAAAGGGAAGATCATGCGGGTGCTCAGCGGCATCCTGAAGGCCGTGATGCTGATCGGACTTCTCTACCTGTTCATCTGCTCGCTGGATGTCCTCAGCTCCGCCTTCCAGCTGGTCGGAGGTAAATCACTGCACATCTAGATCACCACTCACGCAACACGGCGTGCAACACGGCGTGCAACACGGCGTGCAGCGCGGCGTCTTTTTTTGACCTGAGGTTGTGTGTGTGTGTGTGTGTGTGTACAGGAAAAGCTGCTGGTGACATCTTCCAGGACAATGTGATATTGTCCAACCCTGTGGCCGGGCTGGTGATCGGGGTGTTAGTCACAGTGCTGGTGCAGAGCTCCAGCACCTCCTCCTCCATTGTGGTCAGCATGGTGTCCTCTGGGTGTAAGTGGGACACAACGCACACTGTTTGTCAACACGTCTACTGCGGACACACGCATGGACGCGTGGATGGATTACACAACACAACTGCAAAGACACCAGGACCGCAGAGAGACACACCTCTCCAGACGCCTCCACTCAAAGACCCAATTCATTGTAGCACTTAGAGTGGACTTATAAAGGCTCTTATCTACAACAGGTAGTTAATCGATGGAATTGCACTTTCTTGTTTCTTGATACCTATGTTTTACAACTAAGATACACTAAAAGAAATTAGGTAAATTGGTAGGTAACTGGGTCGTCCTGGCGCAGGGGTTAGAGAAGGTGTGCTGGGAAGCACAAGGTTGTTGGTTCCGTTCCAGGCTGCCCCACGTTCCATGTCGAAGTGTCCCTGAGCAAGACACCTGACCCTAATTGCTCCCTGGGCAAAAATGTGAAAACGCCACGGGTTTAAAGTGTAATGTAAGTCGCTTTGGATAAAAGCGTCTGCTAAATGACCTGTAATGTAAAGTCTACCTTTATACAACTGATTACTTACAAAAAAGAGGTAATATATGCTTGATGGTAAGCACTTAATACCTAAGAATTGTTATTAAGAATTGAACTTGTTGACCATCACTTATCAGGGAAGGGAAGCTTTACTTAAAAAAATTGTTACTGTCCAAAAATAGGTAGTGTAGTTGCCCATAATTATACCTTGTTTGCTGACTAATTTACACTTGCAGTAAAACAATTGGCCTGGGTAATAATTACTACCCTCCAAAAGTCGTTTTCACAGTGTAGTGGGAAACAGTCTAAGGTAACGCGCTGCTTTCCCTCAGTGCTCGATGTCCAGTCGGCGGTTCCGATCATCATGGGCGCCAACATCGGCACATCGGTCACCAACACCATCGTGGCGATGATGCAGGCGGGAGACCGTAACGAGTTCCGCAGGTAAATCAGGGCCCACGTGAACGATTACGTTACAAAGACGAACGCCCCGCCACCCACAACGTGACTTCGCGAATGGACCGCGTGACCCTTCACTCCCAAGGCCTTCGCCGGGGGCCCCCTTACCGACTTCCTCAACTGGGTTGTGAATAGATTAACCTTCGGCCTCTGGAAAAGGCCACGGGCGTCCTGTACAAGCTCACCCACCTTCATCATCAAGTCTCTTCCAAATAGAGAGCGAGAGAGAAGGCCCCC